TTTCAGTATATTTGCATTGAAAATGTTAGAATTATCTTAATTATTTCAGTTCATTATTTCATTCACTTTGATTTTTGAAAATCATTGTGATTTGAGCCAGTGCTTTTGCCACATATCTATCTATCTATCTATCTATCTATCTATCTATCTATCTATCTATCTATCTATCTATTGTAACCTAGGGAAGGTTACTGAATAGAATAATCAAACGAATGTTGGTAATAATCAATAATACTTAGGACACGAACAACACATAAGATTCGCCAGCGGCGTGTAGAAGAAATAGTCAACTGCTAGAAGGGAGTCAAATGAATTCCACGATAAATCTCTAACTGTAGGATATCTACCAACCGCCCTACGCGGTCAGATGTGGCACAAGGCCGAATTTAAAGTGGGGTTCCGAGCCCATAGGCTTGGCCAAAAATTCCCCGTAGACCCCCGTATAACACGGGGTTGTGTAGCTGTTTCCCGAAACGAGACTCTGCCCTTCGACATAGCCACATCTAGGGATCCTCTCTGCCCGGAGCCAGAGAGTTTTATCAGCGCAGTTGGAGCCGAATCTCTAACTGTAGTCCAGCATACATTATTTACTATTGTATTTATGTGAAGGAAGTCATACTCATTATCGTTCGTAGGCATGCTACAACACTATCTAAATTGCATTCTTCGGTAAATCTGCATACAGCGAATAGATATTTGAATTAATAATTCAGATTCTGTGTTGTATGATAATCTAGAAAATAACTAAAAAATCGAATGATAATATACTTACCTCTGGTCATTAAAGAGTATTTGAAACACAGTTATGGATGACTTGTCATTATCGGAGTTTGTATCCCCAGTCAAAAACGTAAATATCGACAAATCTGCTGTGTCAGCATCATCTTCGGTATCACGTTTTTTACGTTGACTAACGTTTTCTTCCTTGTTATTTATCAACTCTATTTTTTTTTTCAATATTTTTACCGCCTGTTTAGTGTCATTCCATGCTTTTATTAAACAGCTGAATGTTTCCGGAGTTACTGTAATGTTATCTTGGCGAAAACAAATTAAGGCAGCGAAAAATTCATCCATGAATTTCTGTTTCAAGCTTGTTTAAAAGAAAGAGAGAGAGAGAGAGAGAGAGAGAGAAAAAAAGAGAAAATTAGTGAAAATCATTTGGAAATATTATTTTTATCGTTTGTAAATGCTAATCAATGTAATCGCTTTTCACTTGTATTTTGTTTTTACCTTTTAATGAAAAACAATGTTTCCTTTACCTGCATAATACTAATGTTGGATTTAGCCTATGCTATAAAAGATCCTCGGAATACCTTGCTAGAAATTATCTTCACGACAACTATGCGACAAAGGAAGTTCTTGGATCAGATCAAGTAAAGTTGATTTAAATCAGCCATGAGTAAACAGTATGCACCCATTTCGTTTTTTTTCTAAATGGCACACTTAATTTCATAAGGAAAATAACGTTTCTTAAAATTTTGTATTGTTTTATTTTCACTTGTTGACTGACATACTTTCTCATACATAACCACCTACATAAACAATTAAGTACAATGTTTCTTAAATTTTATAGATTTTCGGTGAAAGTAACATTTACATCATTTAAAACTATTGGTGATTTTCACTAAGGAAGATCATACGTGCAAACATCATTTGATTTCGAAACAGGAAGCATCTATAATATTTTTTCTCTAAAGAAAACATATATGTTTTTTTTTATTTTCATATAAATAAATTAGAAATAAATCACACGCAGCGATATGTGTTAATCCCGCTGTCATCAGTGATAATATTATACGTAGACTTAAATTTTTAGATTATAGAATGATCTTTTCTCTAAAAAAAGAAAATAACTTTTCCCCAAGTCCATTAATTATTGGGTCTTGTCGGCAAAATGATGGACCGAACAAAACGTAGGAAGACGTAGATTCACGCATAGGTTAATTGGATATCAGTTGATAGATTCCGATTTCAACACAGGTTATTCTAGGTCTGTTTTGCACTTAGTTAAAACTATAATTTCCATTTTGACCAATGACCTCATTTCTTTTGTTATTATCATAAAGTTTCGGCCGTTGGACCCGCTGACCTTCTTCAGGTGTTTGCCGATCCACATAACCGTCAAGGAATTTTGAATAGAATACTTTCATTTAATTGACATTGGTAAATTGTTCTCGTTCCTTTGTCAATGTCTGGGGATATTATTGTCTTGTTCTTTAAAAAAAATACTTTGTTATTGTTTCTCTCCGTTCCAACTGACTCTAAATCTTTAACACTTGATCCCAAGATTTAAGCCACAATTACTATTACAATACAGACAGAAAAAAAAAAAATAGTTACTCATCAACTGTTACAAGATCACAGTACTAAGTCACTAGTGAGAAACATTCATTTCATAAACGATTTGATATGCAGCCCAAGCTTGGTAGCAGTCAGATTAAAGTCTGCAACCCTAAAGATAATCATTTAGTTTATCTTTGTCTATTACAGGGCCAAAAGGTAAGTTTTTTATAGCTTAACTGTTAAAACACAGTCTCGGTTCAAGAGACACGTGACTCTACCGAATCTATGACAAGGGGCCTTCCACTGTTCCATATTTCAATTTTCATAAGGTAGTATTCATATAAAAGACGCATTTTATTGTAACCTAATTTTGTACAATAAAGGATCATATGCAATATAGGTATAAAAATTCAACTAGGAAACTTGAAAATAAAAACAATATATCTAAATACAAATTAGATACATGTCATAATAGATCATTCAGTCTTAAATAAATCAACAAAATTTTCCGGCAGTTTTTAACATCAACTTGAGATATTTCTTGTTAAAAAAATTGAATTATTTTAACACATTCCATATTACGAATAAAAAATAATGTAATTTATATACAGATTTTTTATACTTACTCCGAGCAAAGCAAATTCACGGATTTGGACAAAAAATAATCAGAATTACGTCAAAATCTGAGAAAAATTATTTATCCTTTAATAGTCAGTTGCGTTTTGTTAAATCAGCCTTGCCCTCCGCGTAGGGAGTTCGGGGTTAGTACTTAGTGCTTATATTTCTGTGAGGAATCCATGATAGGAAGCAGGGAGGGTACGGCACATGAATGAAGATAAAATGACGAACAATCTTTTACAGTAAAGACTATGTGAATGTGAATCTTAAAACATTCAAGGGAAATGATTAACAGTTCAAACATACTTACATATTGGATATGTCACGGGCATTAATCTCCATTTCTTTTGAATAAACTTTGAATAATTCAACGGTATTTTGAATTCTCTTATGAAAGCATTGATTCTTACTACAACTCATCAATCTAGAACAAAGGAAAAACATTTTCATATATAGTTCATATAACGATTTACCAAGCAGAGTTTAGTCAAGGCCAAAATGATGAATCTTAACATTATTTACGTCAAGTTTATTCAGATGTTTGCACACGTGAAAGCAACTCATTCGACTCTAGGAGAAGCTCAAGAAGAACTCAATAGATATTCTTTGTTCTTTTTAATCGATCATATCCGAGTAACGTGTTAGCAACTATTATATTTGGTGAATGTTCTGAGTTGGAAAAGGTCCAGGCAGTTCTTGTCTTTCGAAATTGTTTTTAGGTTAGATGGTTGTACTGTCCTTGAACTTTTTTGTATTCTGGAGACCTCTTTGCTGATGATTGGGTCAAGCGATTTGAATGGGATCACTATATTTAACTTGCTTATCGCAGGTTTCTGTTTTGGTTGAAAATCCCCTTCTCATTATTCGACATCAGTTTAATTTTGTTCTGCATTAATCATCATGTCGTCTCTTGATGTTGTGTTCAGGTTCTTAACTAGACTGAAATTACAATTATTTCACATTCATATCATCTACGTCGTCTGTAAAGACGAGTTTTGCCATGTTTAGACCTCTCATTCTGACTGTACCTTGGTGTTCCTCAAGACAGTCATTAATGAAGCGGTCGATGAAGTTTTTTAGAAAACGTAGACGCATGGAAACAGTTTTGTGTAGAGCTCTGGAAGAGTACAGTACAGCTTACCTTATGAAACGGCTTCTGGTCGGTGTTATGTTTATATATTTTTGCCCTCAATGACTCATGCCATAGATTGTGAAAGGATGATCTTTTAAATCCTTGTAGAATTGCTAGACGTTTTGTTAGTGTTGCGTGTATTACTGAACATCTTATGAAAACGAAACGACTACACGCTTAATACCTAAGCAGAAAATATAATAATATTTTCTATTTAGGTATCACACTCTCATTTGTCAATTCTGATAAAAGGTTACAAAAACTTAATGCTTTTCTTACTTATAAATTAACTTTATACGCACAGGTTAATATTGTTTAGTATATAGTTTGTAAGAAATATTTATCTGTCTTTGATAAGTGCTTTCATTTGGAAATTATCAGCATTTTAAATTGTGATGGTTAATGATATATTATAAATGTTACATTTATTGTTCTTAACTTAAATTTAAAATTTTGGCATTTTGGGGTTTGTAAGTTAAGCTAAAACCATGAAAGAAACAGCGCGTAAAGCACGTACTTTGCGGACAGAAATATGTCAAGCATTTGTAAAAATGTCTAAAATCCTACTCCTTTGAATGCAGAAAAACTTATTCGGATTTTGAATGTTTATGTTTAACATCGGAATCATAAGTGAAGACAAATAAAAGCAAATATGGAGAAATTTGAATTTTAGAAAGATTGGCTTTACTTACTTTGATACGGTTGCATTAAATATATTCTGCATGCCTTTATTCAATAAGATCGAAGCTATTTTCGTGCTTGTGGCACTTTTTTTCTTTCCTAGTTTCTTGAAACCTTCGACAATTTTAAACATGCACGCTTTTTCTTGGGTGTGTTCATCTTGGAAACATTCCCAGTATTTTCTGCCTTGTTCTTTTAGTTTTTCTCGACTGCGTTAAAAAAGAATCAGTAATTGTATCAGTCAACAAATCAAATAATAAATATTGTTGCCTGTCATGTGGCAGAG